AGGCGTGCAAAGAGCTGGGCCTGAAACTAATTACCAGGCCACTCGCTAAGTTTTGTTGAATGAAATGTTGAAATTGTTTGCTTATCCCACCGTTCAACATCGTTCAACAACCTTTCAACAGCGTTGAACAAAATCGAATGGATGTTGAAGCAAATGTTGAAGCCGTTTGCTCGGGCCTTTAGAATAAAATATCCCTACAGTTAAAAAACAAGAATAAATTTAGCCTACGTGTAGCCGCACCCTCCCTCCGACAAAGGAGGAACGGAGCGAGAGAGCGTCTACGAAAGGTTGGCACAAATCGTGTTCTGTGACGTCATTCTTAATTTATGCAAATTTTTCTACTTTCGCGTAGAACGCGGGCTTTTCAGGATACAAAATACCAAGGATAATCTCAAGCTGTGTATCGGCTATTCTTTCGAGCTTATCTTCGGTTAAATCAATGAAATAAAGTTGCATTTTGTGTTTTAAAGAGATTACGAAAGCTTACGAGCGATTTTTAGTGACAAGCAACAAGAAAACGTCCTTCGACGTGCAAGTAGCTCTCGCGAATTTCGATTTTGCTGTATACACCGTGTCTGAATACATTTGTCGCCATTGTCTTGGAATTCTAAAGAAAAGACAAAACTTAAAACAGAATCTTGACGATCTCAAAGAATGCATGCGAACAGAATATGCTGGAAACGTGGAGAAAGTAGAATTTGATTTTAAGCCGAAATAGTTTCAAGTGAGTACGGATTTTTCCTTCGAGCGGCCAAGGCTTGAGGGTTTTTATGTAAACTCAATGTAGCAAGATGTTTTGTCGCTGCCACCAGCATCTCCACTGTATTCGTCGACGCCAAAAAAGAGATCTAAATACATCTTTTTCCTCGAAGAAACAATAGCTTCCCGTTGCTCTTCGTACAGTTCTGGAATGCAGAACGTTCCGCAAACTTGCTTCAAAGCAGCTTAGTAAGTCTCTTTCATTTCTGAAGTGAACGATCTCGCCGCCATTTTGCCGTGAATTTTGCCTGTTTTACATTTCAACCAATGAGCGCCTCCGACTGAAACGATCGAACTCGGAGCCAGTGAAGAACTATTCTACATTTTCTTGCAAAAGGAATGATGTCACATAACACGATTTGTGTCAGCCTTTCGCAAACGCTCCCTCGCTCCGTTTCTCCTTTGTCGGGGGGAGGGTGCGGCTACACCTAGACTAGAGTACAACAGTCCTTCTCAGAACTACACTCACCCGGGCGATCAGACTACACCTTCACTAGAGTAAATTATGGTGAAACCTAGGATGAATATTGAATTTGGACGCATACCTGATGGAAAAGAGTGACTCTTTTGGCAGAGGTCAATGAAACACCACAAGTAGCCTGGTCTGTCGGGGTCATACCGTCGCACCAGATCCTTCGCCTTTTCATACCAGGAAAAAGTACCATATGGCTGCTCGAAGTATCACATGCTTAGTTTGTGGAAAATCGTCGTCGATGAAGGTAACACGGCAAATGGCATTGCACAGACCGGTTTTCCTACCGAGTCAAACAAAATGTGATTACATAACTTGGCAACATGAAGTTTCACCATACTGATAAATGACAACCACTTAGCTGGTTTCTGGTTTAAGACTTTTTAATTTCAAATCTTAGTGGAATAACAATAGCAAATGGCCAGATAAAATGAGTCAATACACCATAATTCAAGTTCAAATTCTACTGCTAGATTTAGGTTTGGTCTCAAATGCACGAATTAACAAGACCACCAAATGGGAAGGGGAACAGTTGAGGAGTTTAACCAGTTACTTGTACTCATCATTTTGGAAGCAGGCCAGTTTTAAGGAGGAGTTGTTACCATGGGCAATCCTTACCGTACTTGGCTTGCAATGCCTTCATTTTCGCAAACGTAGAGGATTTCATTCCTTTGTAGTTTCTCACGGCGTCTAAGCTCTCTCATGAATTCCACTGCAACAAGCGTCTTTCCTGTTCCAGCGACCCCCTTGATCCATAACTCCCGGTTTACTTCAATCTGCTGATGGACCAAACGAAACTGTTCCGTGGTGAGAAGGTTAAAAAAGGTTACGCCCAATTTGCAGGAGAGAGTTGACGGCACAGCAGCAAGAGTTACCACCATCGCTTTGAGAATCTCATTCAGTTTCCCTCTGGGAGAGAGAAGATCATATGACTTCGGGTAGCGGTCGTCAGGTGATGGAAATTTTACTTCTCTGCCTGCGCGACATGGTAGCACATGGGATGACACATAAAACTTTTGGCCCCTGGCGCCATTTTCGGAAAGCCTTTTCTTTATGGACTGTGCAGCCTCTTTGCTATATTGGAAAGACGTCTCATCTGCCGCATCACAGAGAGTGTACAGATGAAGTCCACCCATGTTTCTGCTGACAAGAAGAACGTCACAGATGACGCTATCAACTGCTGTGCCTCCAGTATCACGAAGCCAAGAACGCGATACAGCCAGAAATCCCCGAAAACGGTCCCTGCGACAAACCTTTTGGATGTTGCGAATCACTGCTTGTGCCTCTGCTGGAAGGCTAGACTCTACACCTTCCGGTGAAACTAGGAACGTGTCATCGCCTGATATTAAAATTTTAATGTAGAAAATGTAAACAAAGAGAACATAATAAAAAAATACTAAAAGTGAAAGTATTTTTAGTGCATTAAATTTCGTGTAAGGAGATTCTTCTCGCCCCAAGGCAGTCGGAGACAGGATTATGTCAACCAAGAGATATGGGAGCAACAAATATTCTACACATCACTTTAGTATCGGCACTCTGTGGGTGCTGTGGATCACAGTAAGGGGTTTTTCGGCTCAAATGCTATTTCTCATAGCAAGGTAAGTAAACAAATTCAGATTTTCTAGAAACTGTGGAGTATTACATATGGAATACAATTCATGTGTTCTCATGTTATTTTTCTCCAGGCAGCCAGACGCCAACCAGTTGCGAAGAAAATATTTCTGTTTCAGAGAATCTAGTCCTTAAAAAGCAAAAGTAATCCATGTTGTGTACTTGTATCGACGAAATTTCATTTCAAGGTTAAAAAGTTTTTCAAATCATATAGAGATTTTGCACAACTTTTATAATTCCTACCAGAAGGATACCAGGTTATATGCTTCTGTTCTTACCAATGAAATACGAACCAGGTAAATTTCGAAAAATCAGATTAAACGAAGCAGTCATCAAGCTTTTCAGTTTAGGATTCTCATAGAAATGCGACCTACCTTTAAAAAAGGCATCCCTTATCCTCTGAACATCGCCTCTCACCGTTAAAAGATGCCCTTCAGAAACACGCATCTGTTGAAACCTCGATAGCATATCAATCATCCCTGAAAAAGAATGATGCAAATTAACAATTTGACGGGTAGTAGGATAGGGTTCAAATAATCCAATAAGAGTGCTTTTAGGCTAAGCTTTGTAAAACCAAAATAAATTAACCAAGGCGAGAAATTTCTGGCCCAATCATAGAGTGAAGAAATGGTGAAGTAAAGCAAAACCAAAGCAGTTCCATAATAATCATGCTCTTGTGGTAAATGAACAGAGTCTTATTATAACTGGATAAATTTTCAACTGAGTGATGAAAGTAACCAACCAGGGTTGTCACTTGGCGCCAGTTCCCGGAAAAATTCGCGGGATAAAAAACCAGCGATCTCCGGTTAGCATTTTTGGCCTACGATCGCTTGGTAAAGCACAACAGGCACTTCTGAGGTTACACACTTACAATCTTTCATCGCCTTTGGGCAACCGTATTTAAAATTTTAGCTGGCAGTGTAATTTCTTAGTTACAACCGTGGCTAACGTATTCCTACTCCAAATTAGAAAGCATATTTTTGTCAAGTACACACCTCTGGTGTTCCCTGTCAAATGCGCATCATCTGACTTCATTCTCCCTTTCCATTTGTCAAAATCAAGTTGATGAGGAACCTGCTGGCCATCTTCATCACACTGTAATATATAGCTTTCTGGGCATTTTCCAAAAATTCCTCCAGCATCCCGCATTCCTGCCATTTTAACTACAATGACAGATTTGGATTCAGATCCAGAGACATCAGAGAAGGTTAAATCCCAATGGATGCCTCTTTGAAGCTTAAAATTACAACACATCTTGTCAACAAGGGAACTGACACATTCTTCCACATGCTCTTTCTTATTTTTCACCATGTCTACGCCCGAAACTCTCCGGTCATCTCTTACTCCTATAAGAAGAACTCCACCATCACAGTTACCAAAAGCTGACAACTGTCTGGCGATGCTGAATCGCTGCTTAGGATGTGAAAACAAAAGAGAATCAGATGCAAAGTCTTTAAACTGAACCTGTTTGCACTCCATCAAGCTGATTACCTTCTGGTGAAAAAATGTACAAGGTATCGGTGGAAGGTCTTGCAGAGGCACTTGTATATTTGACTTTAAGTTTCTTTTGTGGCTGTCAGACTCTAGCTTCAGAAAACCGACAACATCGTCGTAATTAGCGTCATCAACACCCGAATCTCCTGATACAAATAAATTGTACTTCATTGTACATAAGTGTTTCGGAGCATTGACGAACAGCAATATTTTGTCAGAAAATACACGGCGGTCAAAAACGTCGTCATATTTTGATGGACGAATCATTGTTTTTAATTGCCCCTCAATGGTTTGCCAGAAACAATCCACGGGATCCTTCTTACTTGCACCTTTACTCTGGGGGTCTGCAATTTTCATTTCAAGCACTCCTCCACCAAAATTTAAGAGAGCATTGCACTTTCTCATAATATCCTCGCTTTGGGTGGGACTTTCTTCATTTCTAGACTCAATGCCTTGTTTCTTTCTCCTCTTTTTCTCCTTTTTCTGCTGACTAGCACTATCTGCTCCAATTTTTATAGTGCAGTAAAGATGGTTTTCACAGAAGTCCCTGTAAACAATGAACAATGTTTCACTGGGAAATAAATCCAACTTTACAGATGTTAGAAAACTTTATTTCTACTACATTGCCTCTACGCAGTAAACAAAGTTTAAGAGCAAAATTTAGAATGCTTGAGGGTCCTCGCCAATGTGTAACTGCTACTTAAAGAGCACCTTTGCCACACAAAAGGCAATTTTACTGCCAGTTCTTGTATTTCTCATAAATACTGCCTAAGGCCAAATTCAGTTTTCTTATGGTCTTTTCCCTTTCATAAGAATCATTTTCCAGCCAGGAAATCAA